TAGCCCGTCTTATAGGAGCCCGGGGATTGCACCTATCCTCTGACCGTGATGAGCTTTCTAGGATGAAACGCCCATCATGTCCAACAACTCCATATCGGGGATGCCAGTTACACACGTCTATAAAAAAACAGCACACAATATTGGAATTACCTGTAACGATGCTCGCTTGATATGATGCTGATATACTCGTTTGGACGAAAGACAGCATATTCAAAAGACATTATGAGAATAAGAAACAAAAATAGAGAAAGTGTAACTTGAATAAAGCAGCGTTGAGGCCTCGCCTTACAGCGCGTCGACGCGCGACGACGCGCTGTAACGCACTGCAACAGCGCTCCTACCCTCTAGAAGCGATCGCAGCCGCACATGGGGATCAGTTAGCACCGCTTCAGCGGACACTGGCCGATCGATACCAGCCTGCGTGATTAGGCAACGCATACCCTCCAGTTCCCCTAACTCTCACAATACACAAGCGTCGTCGATTGATTCTCGTCTGCGGCTGTGTTGGTACTGGGTTTGAGCGCTGTTGCAACTGTAGCGCGTTGAGTGTTATCGAAATCAGAGTGTTCATCTGTGAGATTTCCACGAATTACGCTGCCTAATTCGAGCAGATAAAGTTGCGATGCGTCACCAAGCTAAAATATAAGTGCCTATAAGGAGAAACTTAGAAATCACTACAAGAATGGCGAAAATTGCGACTTATTTTGTAAATGGAAGTGAACTACGAACCTTTGAAAGGCCATTCTGCCCACCATTAACCGTCACTTTGGCCAATACATCCATGACCCGCGCAGTAATCTCCGTTTAATTCAATCCGTAAAATCCAACTGTCACCGGTCCGAGGAGCCAAATGATGGACTTTTTCAAGCCCAAGCCAGTAAGACTCTGAAAATTCCCGTATGTATAGTCGTTTTCGCTGCAGATGTTGAGGCGTGTAAGGGGGCTGCGTTTTGCGCGGCGTTAGAAGGTTTCCATCATTGTTGTCGCTTGTCCACTTCAACAATTGGTGGAAAAAGGACTGGCGGCGCGCCAGGCACAGCCCCTGACACGCCCCAGCATCTGCAGCGAAAACGACTGCATCAATTCGTGCTTTGACACACAACAAAGGATACAACTACGATATTAAACTAGCCATCAAGATCTCCGAAGCCATTCGCATACTCGTCCCATGTACGATTGTGAAAGTGAACCTTACTGCTTACACGTCTAAATGACAACAAATGTAAGATACAAAAAAATTAATAAGCTGACCACAAGATACTCAATGTTAAGGACTTCTTACCTCCGAATAACCGTCCAACCTCCACCAGCCGTCTCTTGATCGCAAAAAACTGGAAATGGTACGGCATCACTCGGTGAAATTAGATAAATCCCTGATCCTTTTCCGGAATCCAAATGTTCTGAGCAATCCTGTAAAAGGCATACTAGTACAGATACGAGTAGAAACATTCAGAATAAGTAAGCAGGTTGCCCGCTAACATTTTTCACATCCTCTCACATGAGGACCAGCTACACAGTGAATGTAGTGTTTGTAGCGAATTATTTCTGGAACATGAAGATGAGCTGCAACTCGTAACATTTTCCCACAACTTATGTTAGGAAAGAATTGAGATTTCCAAGGAAAAACAAAAGAAAGTGATCTCAAGAAGTAATCCAGAGTAGGAAAACACAGTAAATAAGTGGCTTGTGCGACTTAATATTCCTTCGCTCGAGAGTGTGCAGGTTTTTCCGGGCTTCCATCCAGAATGCTACGCATGTGACACCATTTGCAAAAGTTGCAACTCCTATATCGCAGCTGTCGCCACAACTGGGATGTGTTGTACGACACCCGGGTGATGGTAACGAAATTTGAGTCGGAATGTTCGAATCGAATGCAAAACATGCCCGTGAAATATACCCCAAGTCCCCCAGGTTTTACAAGTGATGACGAACGATGATTCCGAACTCGCACAAAATACACAGGGCAGCGTTCAGACTTCGTGATAACGAGCGTCGACGCGCTACCACTGCGATAGCGCTCCGATGCCATATAATGGTAACGCAGCCATAGGCGGTTATCGATCGGCAACGGCCCCTTCAGTTTTGAGAGAATTCAGGAGTACAGAATGGTACGCGCTGCTTAACCTCACAGTCTGGTACCCTACCTATTCTTCTATACTTTTCCAGAACAGTAGAGGGATGACGCCGATCGATACTCGAATAAGGCCGCGTCCTCGTCCATGGTGATGGAGCGCTGTTGCTCTGACAGCGCCTCGACGCACGTCGTTGTAAGTCTGAACGCTACCCAGGAAGCCAGATCCGAGCAATTACAGAAGTAAAGCTCTAGCTGAAAATCCTAAGCGGAACGTGTTACCTGTACTTCTCCCGAGTTATCCTGTGTTAATGTCGTTGCAAGTGTAGTTGTCACTGTTGCCAACACTTTCCGTTGCACGCGGAGTTTCTTCGGAACTTGAAGTTTCTGCAGTAAAATTTATCTTAAGCATAGATCGAACTTTTGCACTGATAAAGTTTGGTAGTAAGGCCGCGTTACTACTCTGCGAATGCGAATATGCGCGATTTCGTGAATCGGCGACAAGAGATTAGATGGGAATCGATTCCCTCCGCCAACCACCGTTTTCGTAAAAATCGCGGTTCGCTAGAATCGGTGACATAGGAACTAATAACGGTCGGTTGCCTATGAGTCGATACTCAATATCTATACGTATACTTTACTTTTCGTGTATTCTTCACACTCTGAAAGGGGAGGGGGGGGGAGGCGGGGTAATAACTTATTTTCGTTTATGTTCCCGTCTGCAAACAAAGAATGTCATAAACACGCAACACGCCGCACCATGCGACTATCCATATCCAGACGCAATACTTGATTCTATACTTGACTCTACTCCCTCTCGTTTTACGAGAGGCGGCCATCATTTTATACAGCACGTCTTCGGCACATGCTGCTCATTGTGGACGTGATGCCAACTCTTTCGCTGCAGAAGCATGATGGTCCTGTTCCCGCACCGGACATGTTGGCAATAGCCATAGTGCATAACATGGGTCGAATACTGAGGGGGGACATTGGAGAAGATCCAGCTTTCACGACCCTCCAGCTTCACTAGCCACTCATTTCCATGATGTGATTACCTTGAACAGCTGCAAACCTGCTCTCCTTGCTCATGGAAAAGATAACCGCATACACCATGTTGTCAAAGGACAAACGGCACACCCACCTCCGCGGATCTTGGTAGTTGTCATCTGCGAGATTAGAAGGTCCGCATCTGCATTAGCCTGTTTCTTCCTCTGGACAAATCAAAAACTGGGCTGGAGAGTTGATGCTGTGTGCCGCCTCCTGTGTGCAGCTTCCAGATTCCGCACGCGCTGCCGTACGGTCAGCCACACGCCTAACCATGAACAAACGAGCTACCTGACTGCGCTCTCTCACGTATGTCTAGTTGTTCTCTACTCCCTTACTGCGCGTTCATCGCAGGATATTACCATCGACGCAGGTGCTGCGCCATGATGACAGCGCGTCTGGAGAGCTACAAACCGGGTACCTCTCCTACATCAGCACCACTTCACGAACTTGTCGTTCTAAAACACACCAAGGCTTTCACTGCGATGAAAACCGTGACAGCTGTCCCGCACCAACCGCATAAAAAGGATACCAATCCATAAGAATTCTAGGACAACCTAAGCTCAAGGTGTTAAAGAGCAGAGTAGGTTTTGCTGTATTTTACTCATCTGCCCATTGCTGTCACAAGGATGACGAAGATCGAAGTGATACAAGCTACAGTAATAAAGATAATAATTACACCCACACCATTGCCCACAGATGAGCTATGACTTACGCTGATACTATGATTAAAGAGAAAAATATAATTCGAGCCAGGAAAAAAGTGGATACGTCGTAATGAGGAAATAAAAGGCAAAACAACAAAGAGATCACACAGCCAAATTAATAAAATTTAACTTACAACATTGTCAAAGTCTACAGGTGGAGATTTCACTTCCTGGTGAAAGTATTCGATGTCATCCTCGGTCTTTGCGGGACGAAACAAATAGAAGAGTAGCACACCGATTAAAGTAAGAAATAACAGCAGCAACACAATCACTCCAAGCAGTATGGGTCTCCTCCTAGAAGGAGCTAAATTAATGAGAACTAGCTCTAGAAGCTCCTATGAAGAATTCATGAACTCCTTTTTAGCCACGTTACAATAACAATTCTCACTCTCTCCATTAGAAAAATGTAATTTGACGGGACAAATAACCATTTTGAGGTCCCTTTTTATTTCCTTGAGGTAAACGGGTGGTATGCCAAGGACATAAAAGCTGAATCACGCAAACCCTACCTGACATAAATAGATGCCAACTTTATTCCTTGAAGACACTCTGTACACCAACCTCCGCGCATCCTGCGCCTTATCGTATGTGAGTTGAGTGGATCCGCAGCCACCGCTCCCACTTTCCCCCGCTTGAAAGTGCACAGGAACGAAACTGGAGGTTAGTGGTTCCCAAGTGCCATCTCCACACTCTGCCCGACACTGCCGCACGACAATCCGCACGCCTAACCATAGCCAAACGCGCTACATGCCTGCGCACTCTCATTCTGCTTGTTCTTCATGGCTGAGTGCGGGATCCTCGCTCCCAATGAGCGCACGTTGAGGATAACAAGGGCGGAGCATGGAGGTCGGTACTTGGCTTTCACTACCCTACAGTGGCGTTCCCTCACATTTGAGCGGAAAAAGTGGCGCATTACTGCAGCTGCGAACCTGTTTACCTTGCACATGAAAAGAATCGTTTTCGGAGTGTGCGCGAACAGTCTGTATTCTATAGTATACTCAAAGGTGAATCCCGTGGCTCTACCTTGAGCCTGGACAAACGAAAGGGAGGCAGAGGCCTTACTTAACTATTTTAGCACCGGTGCACCATTACCTCCATTGTTTTCCAATGCAGTGTTTGCGCTACATAAGATTTCACCTACATTTCAAGGGAAATCTTCCGGTGTGAAGTTTTTATTGATAGATGAAAAGACAAATGAACTTGCCATTTCGTGCAGAAAGTTGGCTCCAAACGGCTTTGAGCAGCAATGCACGGGTCCAGTTCATGTGTCACGTTTATGCGTTTTATAATCAATCCTATTATCCCTCATGATTTTTGGATGTCGTTAGAGGGCTAAAAGCACTTGAACAATAACTGTTACGAAAAACATAAACATTTACCCGCACGGCAAATAAGCCCAAGAGACCAGAAATGTACAAAAGATACCAAGTGAATGCGCAAGTGTCCTGGCTGCATTACAATGGAGATGAGAAACAAAAAATATTTGAAAAGAAAAAATTACGCATGGGCAAGAAAACTCATGATGGCTAAATAAAAGCAAACGCAACACATGGCAGAAAATGGTGGAAGCAAAAATGGCGCACTGGGATAGTCATGTAACCGTTCGAGTTTCTTGTGCAGGTCCAACTGCGAAAGGAAAATGCGGAGGCGAATGAGGATGGCGTGTCAAAGCACAGAATGGTGCAAAAGTGCGAGGTGTAGTTCATGGCGTCTGAGGCGTGGCATTGCACGTAAATTAAAAGAGTATTCCCTAACTGGACGACTTTACGCGCTGAAATATCGCCAACTGGGACGTTCATCGTACATAGCTCACACGAAGGGATCTGTGGGTTGATTTTTGGCGCAATCATTTTGCCACCGAGGTGACAAAACATTTCTGGCAAACCGTCTCCTAGGAAAAACAGCTTGCCCGATAATTCGAAGACAAGCCCCCTGATTGAGTATCACGATCATCGCCGCTCGAAGCCCACACGGTGTCTCTCCCGCGCTCATCGTCAGGCGAGGCGCCGCGCGCGACGGTGCAGCGAATTACGATTCTCTTGCCCGTCTTCCGCAGCAAGCCTCATATGGATATCCACGTGGAAAGGGTGCCAGGCCAGACAGCAGCACGTTTCGTCGCTGATCACGCCCACCAGCGCGACAAGTTACGGTTGTCTTGTTACACACCCCTCCCCTATAGTGGTGCTTTTCGGAGGAAAAATTAGAGAATTCGTAGACCCATAAGAATTCGTGCTAGTACCAGTTACGAAAGACTGAACGATCACGCCACGATGATGAAGAGAACTATCATGCCCTACAGCAATTTATACATGAAAACAGTGCCATACCAAACGCGTCAGTTGAACCAGCCTCGGCGCTATGACAAGCCTATAAATGACACTACTGAGATCAACCACTGTTTACTGAGAGGAATTTCTACAGTCTCTATCTTCGACACATTGAACTATTCCTACCCCAGTCCTTCGGTGAGAGAAAGCGCTGACCAAAAGTCGATTAATTCTAGAGTTGGAAACACATCCCGTTAGGGCAAATCGTGGGTAATAGGGTATGCATTCGAGCTCGCACCTGATCTGCTGCATTCAGAGAATAGCACGATACGCGACGCGACCGCGACAATGCTGAAACAAGTACCAGTAATTCGCTTAATTAATTTAGTACAACTCGTGATTGAAGGAGTGTATTGTCTATACCACCTTGCGACAGGGGTCGTGTCAATACGAGCATTTTTTCCATAGTGCCCTTAATGACCTGTGCTCAGTAAAAAAATTCCGCACATTTTTTCTGCGCTCTCCTTCAATATCGCTTCGAACCACGCCCACCTCTCAAAGCTATAAAAGAGCATCGGCGCTTCACCTGTAGTGCATTTGACTGCCATCTGGAAAGGCTGGAAAAAACCTGCATTATTAGTAGGAGAGTAGGTAGAAGTATTCGCGGGAGGGGTTGACGTGTGTGACCACCTCCGGCAGGACCAGAGTGCAAAAGATTCTGATACATAATTATCAAAGATGCTAGCGCTCCGCAACACTTATCTGCGAACACATTGCACGGGTGGTCAACAAAATCGGTGAGAACTTATACGGGATTATTTGACGACCTGATTACAAAAATGACGTTCATTACCGACTAATGGTGGACGAGCTATGCAGAAGGACTCAGCCTATGGAACGCAGACGCAATTACACCACTTCCGCTTTACTCGCCCACCGTGATTACTACGTATCTCACGCCTGATTTTAACAAGCTGGAAAAGCTTTCCTTCTGTTTTTTGTGCATCCCTTTGCTCTGTTTTCGCTCACACCATCATTTTCTCGTTGCGTTCTGTGGGCAGTACTAAAATATTCCTATCCCATTGTGACGGAATCAGGCCGGTTCCTTACCGACTTTTCCCTACAATGGCAGGTTTGAATGAAAGTTTTTTCAAAGGGATAATTTTTTATTCTCCTGAATACGAATATCACATCCGCTTCACCCAAAACCACCTAGCGCCGGCGCCAAAATGCCCTAAATCATCAAATTCGCTGAAAACTTGTCCCTAGGGGTAGTTTGATCCTCTGAACATGAATATCTAATCCGCTTAGACTGAAACAGCCTGGCGCCCGCGCCGCAGATGCCGGCACTTCAAGATACCTAGGTCATCAAATCCGTTGCAAACTTGTATACAGAGGTCATTTGACATCCTGATTACGGACATGACATTTATTCTTGGCGCCGGCGCAATAGGACACTATGGTCATCTGCGCTTTGCTAAGGCTGACCCTGGCCTGAAGGGAATCACTCCTTCTTCCAGGCTCAGCCTTAGAAGAGCGCTAAATGGCGCTGGTGTCGAAAAATAAATGTCACATTTGTGATCAGGCATCTAACAACCCTATTGTGCACGCTTTATCAATTTTAATGAAAAAGGGTGCTTCGTCGAATCAGCGCCCCATGGCGTCAGAGCTGGAAACTAATGCGGTACCGGCGCCGTAAGTGAGTGCTATATCTGTGACCAGGACACCGAATTACCCTTGAGGGCAAAGAGCAAAAAAACTTCCATCTTTTTGGGGTGGTAGTAGTTGCAGTTGACTAGTGCCGAAATTTCTGCAGCCTCGAACTTCGCCACTATTGAACTATGTATTCCTACCCTAGTTCTCCAGAATCAAGCCAGTTCTTTACCGATTTTTTTTCTTCGGGGCAGAACCCATATGAGCACTGCTTCAAACGGTTCGGAATTCGCTGCAATGGTGCCATAGCAATGGAAAAGGATGTCGAAAGCAAGCTGAAGGAGCTCCAGATCTTATCGTCTTTACAGCCTGCTTGTCAGTGAGCTTCTTGAAAAGAATCTTGTTGAGAAAAATCCCTCGAGAAAGCGCTGATCAAAAGTCATTCAATTCTAGAATGGAACACATCCCGCTAGGGCAAATCGTCAAATCAAAAATCATTTAGAAAAACCTTATCCATTACAAATTTATGATACTATTATTTTAGAACGAAGTAAGCGAGTGCAAATAGGGTATATTAAATGTGCGGGCCTACTATAATGCGAAATTCACAGACGCTTGTATTGGATGGTATGCATTTAGACTGTTTATTTCCTGTCATTTGAAAGGAACTAATTGTAAATTCAGTGACCGGTGCGAAGCAGGTGATCCCATTAGATGCTAATGGACTCTCGGAGCCATTTGTGGTTATCTTGTTCCAAAATATCGCTATCCAACTCAAGTCGTCAGTAGGACGCGAGTCGTCAGCAAAACTATGAACCCGATTTTCGACGAAACTTTCGAATTGTGAGTTGCTTGACTGCGTCGTGACTGCGTCGTGCCTAGATGCAATATTTAGGCAGCGTTCAGACTTCGCGATAAGCGACGACGCGCGTGACGCCCTACTATTGCAACAGCGCTCCACTCCTATAGACGCTAATGAGCCGCAGCCGGGAACAGATCGGCGCAGCCGGCGTCGCCTTATTCTAGATGATGGTGTGATTCGCCTTGCTGAGTGTGTGGTATCTCACCAGCGATCTCAAATTCTCCGGCGCCACCATTACGGAGGGAATATAGCGCATGTGAAACGGGAGAAATTAACACGCCAAACAGGATCCTCGTGGCCGTCTACGTGTTTTCGGTCGCGCGTTCGACGCGATCGATACACATGCTTTTGACTGCATCGATCGCGCCCAACGCGCGACAGAAGCGCTGCCGTCGCGAAGTCTGAACGCTGCCTAATGCAACCGCGGCCGGGAATAAATCGGGGCAACCAGCATAGCCTTGGTGGCTAGTGCGGATCGATACCAGACTGCGTAATCGAGCAACATTCCTCCCACGCGAAGCCTCTACGTACTGTGGACGTTATTTCGATTCCTGCGACCCGTAAAAAAAGCAGACTTCAGTTCTCGCGATGACGCGCATGGCACGCTATCATTGCAACTGTGTTCCAGCGCAAGAGGCGGGAATACCATCATAGACAGTTATCGATCGGATCCGGCCGCTGCTGTTTTAGGAGGTTATGGGAGAGTAGGACGGGTTAACGTCGCCTGGACACACAGTCTGGTACCCGCGAACTCTAAACTCTCCATTAATGCCAAGGTAATAAGTACGTATACGACGAAGTGTCACATCGTGTGATCACATGATTTCGGTCTGAAAATGCGATAATATTCAATACGACCTGGCCACAGTCCGAAATTTTCAAGTTAAGAGGCGTTATCTAGGGGAATATTCTTCTTCTTCAGCGTTTGTCCCGCTCGATGGCGGGGTCCGCTCCTCTTGATATAACTACGCCATTTTTCCCGATTGAATGCCTGATCGGGGTGAATGCCGGCTATTTTCAAGTCGGTATGCAGCGTGTCGAGCCAGCGCTGTTTGGGACGCCCCTTTGGCCGCTTTCCTGGTACCTCGAGTTCGAGAGCAGTTTTACGGACGGTGTCAGCCTTCGCGCAATGTACGTGCCCGTCAGGGCACAGCATTCGATGGGGATTTTGGTCGAGCCTGTACGACCCCCCCCTTTTTTGGGGGTTCGGTACGACCCCCCCCTTTTTTTTTGCCGTTTGGTTTTTTTGTGATGCGTATCGATACGCATCACAAAAATTCCGCAGAACCGCTGCGTTTCGGCGGCCGGGGAAAAAGCAATAGATATCGTCGTCTCTGACGACGATCCCTGGCGCGCGGCGAGCGTCGCTCAGAGCGAGTCTGAGACGACGATCCCTCACTGAGTCCACCCCCTACCTGATGCGGGGTCAAGCCAGGTAGGGGAATCATACTTCCTCAATCATCCTCATCGAGTACACCCCACGTGGTTGCCGCCATAAAGACTTAATAGCAACTTAATTGTTCTTGTTCTGCTTTGTAATAAACCACTGAACCACCCCAACAATAGATGCGTATCGATACGCATCAAAAACTTTTCGCCGAATCGCTGCGTTTCGGCGGCTGGGTAAAAAGCAATAGCAATCAGCAAAGTAAAAAGCAATAGCAAAGCAATAAAGCAGTAAAGCAGCAGTTTTTGATGCGTATCGATACGCATCAAGGACTTTTCGCCGAATCGCTGCGTTTCGGCGGCGGTTCAGCAGAACAGAATCGGCTCCAACAAAATAAATAAAAATATAAAAGCAAAATAGGATGAATACAATCGAAACAGGATGAATAGAATTGAACGAAAACGCTAAAACGCTTTTATCGCGCTAAAAATGCATTAACCCCGAGATGTGGGGTACGGTAGCAGAAGTGCGTGTGTAATTGCAGCCGTGACCGGAGATTATTCGTCAATTTTAGCACTGGAGCGCGAACTTTCAGCAAAGTGGGGTGTCTTTGAAGGACCATAACTTCCTCAAAAGCGGACCTGTGGGGAAGAGGAGACCGTATTCGTGTAGAGGAAGGTTTGCACTTCCTAAAAGTACTGAAAAGTTTATGAAGGCCTCAGTGCTCACAGAGAACTATGCCGATGAGGATTTCATAGGGAGTTTGCTTTCAAAAGAGGAACTGAACAGGTTTGAACTAAGATATTCTCCTTTAGGCTCAACATCTCACGAATCTGAGAACAGTGCCGAGTAGAAGAAGATTTCCTCTTCCCAAAAACCTCTTAAACTCTGTCTGAAGTTTCCGGGATTTACGAGATCTAGCTATGGGGAGTTCTTGAGGAGCACTCCGAACTGAACGAAAGACCCGTTTCCTGTGAACTTCAAGTGAGCGTGTTCGAATAGCCAGGAACGCATGTAGAACGTATCCTGTGATGGAGCAGGAGCAGGATATGGTTCGTTCAGCGCCGATCACGCTGACTTTGGATGCGCCGCGCACTGAGGTCCGCGCAGAAGTGATGGGATGGTGCAACTTGTGCGTAATGTCTGTTCACGCAAAAGCAAATGTGTCTATAGTATTCAGGGAGGTCTATGACGAACCTGGTGAAATCCCTGCGTCTGTTCCATAGTGTGTCTCTGCTTGTGGATGATGGAGCGTGTCTGTGTCGACGCCGCCCGATCTGTGCTCCTCCAGTTGCTGTCTCCGATAAAGGAGACCAACTGCTGGAAAACGTCTGATACGAACGATATGGTAGTCGTGTCGCTTGTCGAAAAAAAATAGGCTGGCTCAGCCCCAAGCGCAATCGCGGACAC